GTTATCTTCTCCTGGTTGTAGGTTTTCCAGGATACTGGGAAGACTGTTTATGTTGTGGATTAGGACTTCTAGTGTTGTTCCTAGCCTTTCTGTAATGAAGTTTATAGTCCTTGGTTTTAGTCCTAGGTCCATGATCCAAGGCTAAGTTTGATGCTTTGGAATATGTGCTGTTTAGATTTCCACTATTATACATTTAATCATGTAGATAGTTTTTATTGAAATTTTAATTACCAAGTTTTTAAAAATCATTTCATAGACAACATACCATCTTTACGCATTGCTTAATTTGAACAAATACTAGCATTTTCTTTATCTTCAAATGACTTATATATTTATTGTTACTGTTGGAGTATTTTTATAATTTTTCAAAGGAAAGTCATAAGATAATTGTATCCTTTTAAGTTGGATATTAAACTTAACTGTTATGATAGACTGACCAGCAGGAGTTGTTAAAACACTTAAACTAGTTTTATTTTAATAAATATCATGGGACTCTATTTTCTCTCCAAAGTAAGAAATGTTCTAAACAAATGTAAGCAACAGAACAGCAATAACCCGAGATTAAGTTAAATTACATCAAGCACATGTGGTGTCAGTGAGTACTTATGACTTAATAGGAATTTGAAATCCTGTGGGAAATTATTATTTGATCTTCAAGTAAGGAAGTAAAACTCTTTACTTGACTCACTTGAATTCTAATAAAGATTAACTAAATGTTTTAACATTGATTTTGTTATTAATGGACGTGTTCTGGAATATAATTTAAACTCATAGTGTGGGGTTTTTTTCCTCTCTCAGGAGCTTCCACTGCTGAAAACTACTTAGAAATAGAAGGAATGGCTAATTGTCTTCCATTCTACGGAGTAATGGATTTAAAAGAAATTCTTAATGCTATATTAAACAAAAATGCGAAAGAAGTTTATGAATGTAGACCTCGAAAAGTTTTAAGTTATTTAGAGGTATGTATCATTTGCTGTGTTAAAATAATAAGCCATCTCAAATAATTTGAAAATAGTAACTTCTGGGTTTTTTCTGCAGAAAATTATTTTGTTTCTTTAAAATACCCAATTCTAGTAAAGATTTCACATGTAGATTGATTGTAATATACTATTGTACATGGAACCTTACCAAAGCGTGAGCTCTTGGGTGCACATGGAAGAAGAGCCCTCTGGGTGAAGCACTTTGTAGTGACAGGGTTTTGATTTTGTTTTTAATTCTTAGAATTAGTCCCAAACTTTAGAAAGGATTAGAGTGTCTCTTTATTACACCATGTAATGAAATACGTGCATTATATAGTACATTCTACCTTCTGTACACACTGGGCATTATATATGCCTTCACTCATTATTTATGTGGGCACATGATATGCTAAAAATACGATATTGTCCAAAAAGAACAGTCCTAAAATCCAAACCTTTAATCTCTGTTGTTGTTAAGTGCCGTGGAGTCAGTCACATCCTTTATTGAGTAAGTGAAGATTTTTGTTTTCCAGTAACTGCCAAAAGAACAGACAAGTCTGCCTTGGATAAAGGTTAGTCAGGGTGCTCCTTAGAGGCAAGAATAGTGAAATGTAGTTGTCCATACTTTGCACATGTTGTCAGAAGGAGCCAGTCCTTGGGACAAGATACCATGCTGGAAAAGAGGGAGAGTGGGGGGGTGGGAAAGGAAGACCCTCTAACAGTGGGCTCGAGCGTGTCAGAAATGGTGAGGGTGGGGCAGCACAGGGCGAGTTCAGAGCCGCTGTTCATTTCGTAGGGTTGCTGTGAGGCACAGACAGTAGCACCTGACAACAACGGCATCTAGCACAAATGAGAGCTGCAGCTGCGGAGTTTAATTCCTTAAAAATAAATTTATTTTGCTAGAGAAGGATTATAAATTTAGTATGTCCTAAAGTTGACTGGCTCTAAAAAAATGTCCACATAGAGAGAACACATTGTTTCCCAAAACTCTTTTTAGAAGCTATTACTATTGCTATTTACAAACAGACCAGACCTTTAAAAAATTGTGCTTGTCTTTTTTAAAATGAGCCATTTTTGTTTAAAATGTTACCGTGTTGTGCCTGTCATATTTGCAAGATCAAACTTCCTCAACAGGAGAGTCTACTTTTATTCCCTTTTCTGAAAAATACATCCAGCTGTTTTCAAAGTTCTTCAGGATCTGAGTTTTGTGAGCATTCCCAGTATGTTGTAGAAACATTAAAAACTGAAAATTTCTAGAGACATTGACGGGAAGAAGTTTGAATTTGCAAAAGGAGGTTGAGGGAGTTGTGTGATTTTCTTTTGAGTAATGAATCTAGTAACCCAAAAGGAATGCGGATGTTAAAGATAGTATCCTTGAAATATCTTTCTTTAGAATTAAGTAGGAAAAAATGACAGAAGGGTATTGGTGGGCTGGAAGAAGAAAGGTTGAAGTGCTTAAAGGTCATAGTGAAGAAAAAGAACAGATTGAGTTAGCAAAAGGGAGTGGGTTGTTTAGAATATAATGGAGTGGCAGTGTGCTTTTGCTAATACTATTGTACCCCCCAGTCTAATCTTTTGTCTTCATTGCCTCAGAAAATAGCATTCCAACCAAAAGTATGCATGGTCTTTTCTTCGACAGCCTTTGTAACCAGTCCTCTACAAGTCTTCTTGATTCCACCTCCAACTCATATTCTAAACCACGCTACTTCTCTCCACCTCCACGATGTGACTGTAGGGACTGCCTGCACACCACCTCCTTTACTCTTTGCCCTGCGTCAAACCACTCTTGATGGGGTCTCCAGAATGAAGATCAGACCCTGGTTGAAAAACTTTTCTTCTTAATTCCTCTGCGTTCAGATTAAAACTCAAATTGTTCATTTTGTCCTGTTTGATCCGGCACCTGCCTGATCCCGTATTTTACTTCTATTTTTCCTTTAACAATTACGCTACACATGTAGAATGTTACATCTTCCTTCTGCCTGAAATGCTTTTCTCCCCATTTAGTCTTCATATGACATTTCTTTTCTTTTTTTTTTACATTAAAGTTTAAATGTCACCTCCTCAAGGAAACTTCCCAACTGCCCAATTGCTCCATCATTTCTCACTGAAATTGTCTTTTTTTTTTTCTGCACTAGGATAAAAAAAACCTCATAGGGCATCAGTCTTATTTATCTTGTCCTCTAATATATCCCTATAACCTTCAGGAATGAATGACTGGTGAATAATTGGTGTTTCTCAAATATTTATTGGGTTAAAAAATAATAAAAGTAATATAATCAATTTTCTATTTTCCATGTTGCCAAGATAACATGTTTTCTGCTTCCAGGTCTATGACTGTACAATGTGTAACTTTCTCTTCACAGGGAGAAGCAGTGCGTCTCTCTAGACAGCTACCCTTGTACTTATCAAAAGAGGATGTGTTAGACATTGTCCACAGAATAAAGCACCAGTTCCAAGGGGAAATTAAAGGGTGTGTTCATGGTCGCCCATTTTTTCATCATTTAACTAATCTTCCAGAAACTGTTTGATTTACTGTATTTGAGAAAATTTGTTAAAAATGGTTCAATTATAAACCATTTTCAGTCAGTTTTGAACCATTTTTTGTATGTATCATATGTTAAGCCATTTGCTTTATAAATGAAAATTCACTGGCTTGTTTGTATAGTGAAAATATTTTTTTAAACTGTAAAAAATTTAAATAAACTGTTAAAAACTGTGGATTCAATTGATTCTTATGAACCAGCCTGCATAAAAATTGTTAGTTGAAGACTCTAAATTACCAAATGTTTAGTACTTTCATGTGATCAATGCAATAGGTCAGTTGTTGGTGCAAGGAGAAAATACATGTCAACAGAATGCTCAGCTGGTGTGTCTGGCAGAAGCTGCCAGTCTTGTTTAAAGTAGCATGAAGACAAGGAGTAGAAGAAGTGGGAGGGAAACACAGGAAATAATGTTTAGAGGAAGAGGGTCAAGGACTGCAGCTTTCAGTATGGACTGAGGCTCAATGTCCAGAAGACAAAGATTCTCACCACTGGACCAAATGGAAGCATCAGGATGGATGGCGAAGAGACTGAGGTTGTTCACAGCTTCAGTTTCCTCGGCTCCACAGTCAGCACTCTTGGCACCAGCAGCCAGGAAATCAAAAAACATATTGCGATGGGAAAGTCTGTTGTTAGGGACCTCTCTAAAGTACTCAAGAGCAACGGTATCTCTCTGGAGACTAAGGTACGCCTGATACAGGCTATGGTCTTTGCAATCACTTGTTATGCATCAGAGAGTTGGACAGTGACTAGGGAG